ATAAGATACCAAAGTGGATGATTGACTCATTTCATATTACAGTAAACGTATATTTGCAATTGGGAAAAATTCAAAAGTCAGGTGTTAACTTTGACACAATTCAATTTTCAGGTGTCAAATTTCAAAATGCAAAACTCAGGTATTTATTTATTAATTAAAAATATTTTTATTAATTAATTGTTAAATTTATTAAATATTTAATTCTAATATAATATAATTGACCCACCCCACCTCCACCACCCTATGGTTCCAGGGATTATTTCGAAGACCGTTTCGGCCACCACGCTACTATTTCGGTGATCGTTCTGCCGTATCTTTATTCCGACGACCGTTCCGATGACCGTTCTGATTTCGACAATTATTCACGCGACTATTCTGGTGACCGTTCTGTCGCAACTTTATTCCGACGATTGCTCCAATTTCGGCAATTTATACAATATGATCACAGATTCACAATTTAGATAATCACATATTATTTTCAGTCACAAATAATAATTTTTATACGTCACAAATTATTTTACGGTCACAGTTCAAAATTTTTGTAGGTCACATATTTCAAAATTAGTTGGTCATAGATCAAAATTTATAGGTCACACAGTCACAGATTTCCAAATTAGTTGGTCACAGATTTTTTTACGGTCATAGATTATATAATTTTTAGGTCACAGATAACAAAATAGTTGGTCACGTATTATATTTTTAATCACAGATTATCGAATTTTAATGTCACAGATTATATTTTTAGCCACAAAACCAAAATCACCAGATTCGCCTGATCCTCCACCTGTAGCACCGTCGACTGCCACCCGTAGCACCATGAACGCAACCATAGCACCACACCATCGTCGCACTCACCAGAGTTCTTTGTTCTACAGCACCACCACCGCACCACAAGACCTCCACTACACCACCACTGTGCACAGCACCTCCACCACACCACCGCCTGCCAAAATCCACCCCCTTCTCCCAAAAGTACTGCACCATAGCCACCACCCCACCAACAAATCATCAAGTCCGCCACCGCCATTTGCACTTTCAATACACCACAAGATCAAACCCCCAACTCCAACCACCACAAAATCAGGAAAAAGAGAGAGACGAGAAAAATTTAAATCCCTCAAAATGTTGTAGATCTCACAGGTGGGAAGTCGGAGAAGGTGAAACCAAACACGGTGGTCCAAGCACGGCGGTCACCTGCAGGATTGAGCGCTAGATTGCTGGCGTTCGCAGCAGCATCGCCGGTCGTCCGAGTTCAACGAAATGATGTGGATGGTTGTCGGTTGAGTCAAGGATGTGTGGGCTGAGTCAGGAGGAGACGTTTGATACTATTATTGTGTGTAATGGCCACCACTCACAACCCAAGACTCGTCGTTCGTCGCGTTCGCAGTAGCGATCCATTCGCCGAAGGGTGGAATCAGCTCAGCATCACCCGATGCCAGCAGTGTCGGTCGGCGCATGCCTTCGTCGTCGATTGCTAGAGTTCATATGAACTGCCGACGTCGAAGAGAGAGAGAGAGTAGAGAGGAGAGAGAAGTGAGAGATGTCGAGAGGAGGGAGAGAAATTATATTAGGGCTTGTGTGGGTACCTGAATTTTGATTAAAAAAACTTCTCACCTGCTTTTTGCACTGTGATTTTCAAATACCTGAGATTATGTAGTTTCCTCTTTGTCAATTTTGTACTAAACTTTTTAGAAGAACTATTATATGTTGGGCGAGAGGAATGGGTTTGAAGAAATAAAGAATGGTTAAAATTTTAGAATAAAATTTTTTTGTACGGGAGAAAATGTTGGGAAATTGACGAATTTTGATTGACTATTTTAAATCTATTTTTTGTGCAAAGTTCAATGAAAATCTACCACGACAGTTTGGCAATTTCCGTCTTCATTTAGGGCCTGTTTGTTTTTTATTCTCAATTTCTACAGTAAATCAATTCTCATTTTCAACCACACATTATTCAATAAAATAATATTTTCCATTACATCAATAATTTTTTTTTCTTTTTCAACCACACATCTCCCATCAGATCACTATTCAAAAATTAATTCTTCCCCCAAAAATTCCTACCAAACAAGCACTTAATCTAGTCGAGCCTCAAATGTGTAAATTGTATCTTTGCTCGAATCAAAATAAAAAATGAAAAACCCGAAAGGAATTTCGTCGAAAGTTCAATGATCCTCTATGCAATTTACACGTGAAAGTGTGTCATCCCTTTCATTTTATTCAATATTCCTTCCAACCCAAATCTAGTACCCATCACGCAAGGTTAAAATATTAATTAATTAAAATATGTACATTTGACCAACTCGCTTGACTTGGTTCCCTAAAGTCAAAACAGTAACCACATGGTACTCCTCAAATCACGTGACGCTCTTAAACCACCAACTCGTTGGTGTCTCCCAGACACGTGATTCCCAGATTTCCACCTCTATTATTTTAGTAATTAATTTTCTTGATTAAGCTAAATTAATACAAAAATGAGTGATTAATTTGACAAAATTTATCTTCCAAGTAGACGTATGAGCTCCGAATATTAATGGATACACGTGGTTAAAAGCTCTACACATGAAACCAACAACCTTCAATGATTAGATTACATTACGTGAAAGAAATTATATTATTTACGTGTCGGTCTTTATATCATAAATACTTAAGTGTAGATTAAAATCAAAATTTTAATGAATTTTGATAAAAAGTTAATGAAGTGTATGATTGAACAATTACGAGTTCAATAAAACATATTATTAAAGTTAATGGTCGACTTTGACTTCGAACTATTACTTTGATTTTAATCCAAATCAAATAGGGGCTCAGTGTGATAAATAAAATAAAATTGATTTTGCCCATGTTCGGTAACCATTTTTTTTTCCTCATACTAGTTTTTAATTAATTTCTTTCTACTTTTTAATTATACATTTTTAAAAAATTTACCATTCAAAAACTCATTTTTGTAGTTAACCGTGTCCAATCATGTCTTGTCTTGTACCAAATATTTCCCCAACTTAAGTTGTTTTCTTTGTTGTCTAATTCGGAATTCTCAATCATGATTTTCTACTTTGCATTTATATGGTATATTCTCAAGTTAAACCATAAAAGTTTAAAAAGATAATCACATAGACGAAAAGGGTCGAATCGAAAAACGCAACTTTCAACTATGTATCGTCCTATGCTCTTTAATTATGACTATTCACAGATAAACGTGCATTGCACGTTATTTTGAAATGCTTTATGAATGCTGTAAAAATGATATTTAAAAATTAGGGAATATAAAAAAATAGTTTAAAAAATAATTTATGTAAAATGAACTTTTTATACAATTTAATTATTTATTTTCATGTATGATAATAATTAACATGAATTTATATATATCCTATTATAATTCAATCAATTAATTATTTAAGTTCATGCACATACACTTTATATATTTTGTGGACTGTTTAATTACTCTAAAAATACTAAAATTTAATTATTTATGTTTATACATAATACATGTATGCTAATTAACATTTTTTTATTGATATATTAAATAAAACATTAAGCCATCAAATTCATTTACACATATTTTGGGAGCTATTTAATTATTATAGGAGTAGATAAATTATTCAAGTTCATGAACACGTATTTATTTTCAAAATTATTCATTTTATCATAAATTATTCTAGAGCATATAAATTATTAAAGATCATATAATTTGGGAGTTATTCAATTATTATAAGAGTAAATAAATTATTCAAGTTTATGCACACTTAATTAATTTCAATATTATTCATTTAATTTGNATTATTATTTTTCTATATCTATTAATTCAAATGAATTTCATGTTGGTTCACTTACACCCCCTTTGTTTAAATGTATATATATTATTCCTTTTTTATATTTATTGATTCAAATTAATTAAATTACATGTTCATGAATTAATTTGATTGTTCTCGTATAATTCAATTATTTATTTGTATGCATGTTTAATTATTAATATTCAATTAAATATATATTAAAAATGAAAAATAAGATATTATTAAAATAATTAAATTGCAGTAGTGTTAAAATCGTCCAAAAAATGATTTTCACTTTATGCGATATTTAATAGATTATGGGTAGATTGTTAGACTCAACAATTCATCTACTCTGATACTATCCATATCTCAAATCTATCTCGTGAATTCCATTTTTCTTAAAAAATATATTGAATGCAATCCATAATCCAATCATGTATAAATCCAAATCCAAAATTCAATCGCATGGATTTAAATTAAAGAAAAATCATGCATTGGCATGATTTATTTTGCAAGCACGTACAGTTGTGCACCCACGTGTACCCTTATTTCCTACTGAAGACATTGTACAATGACATGTACTTTCACGTATCTCCGTCTCTACCCACATTTAAAAATAATTATTTAAGCCCATTCTGACTTATGATTATTTCATATTGAATTCTGGCCATCCCACCTTCCCACATTCTTGCTTCATAGCCCAGGTTCCATTCCTCTCTGAAATCTGAATCTTCATTACAGTTAATTAATCCTTTGTTATTTTCATTTCACACTAATGCATTGTATTAAGTTGACATTTTGTTGCTCATTTCTTAATTTAATGCATTTTTTAGTGTTTGCTTATAATGGGCTCTCTTGAATCTGAATGCTTCATTTCAAAGTTCCAAATTCTGTGGAATAGTTAACCTTTAGGTATTGTTGTGGTGAATTTCAGTTTATTTTGAAATTCAAGAAAATATAAAGGATTTTCTTGACTTACTGGGATTTATTTACTCTCCGCAAGTTTTCCTGGATTTGAGATTCAGATTTGGAAACTGGGCTTTTTCCATCTGTTGCTCTGAAGAATTTTAAGCTTTTTTGGAAATATATCGTTGAAAATTTGAAGAGGTGAATTTGAATTTTTCTTTATATATGTTTGGAAGTCTATTTTCTATATCATCATATTTGTATTCTTCTGATGCAAATGCGGAAGCGGTGCCTTTAAAAGACTTTCGATGAGTTATAGCCGCTTTTTTGACCTTAAATCTAGATAGGAAGACTGTGTATGCCATTGCCAAATGACACATTTTGTAGAAATCTCTAGGCAAATTTTGACATGTTATTGCTGCTGAACGGTGAAGTATTTTGATAAACTTTAAGCCAAGATTTTCTTCTCAATCTGTGGGAGTATGATGATAAGGGTGATGTAGGAAATGATAACTAGTCAGTGGCTTTTAAATTGGGTAAATTTCTTTGCAAGAAATGTCAATCAATGAAGTTGATTTTTCAAAAGCATCATCAGAAAAAGTATTTTGAAAAGCAGGAAAAAAAAAATCCACTTCATCATTAGACGAAAAAAAAGACTATTCTTAAGAACCCAACAGGCAACAGGCCTTTTCCCCTTGAATAAGACAAACAAAGAAGGGAATCCCGTTGAGTTGGTGTAGTTCAGATGAATGAGCTATCATACTATCATCTGTCTTCTTTAATTAATTAGTGTTGAGATTATTCTAATTCGAAGAGTTTTATTAGGATTTAGGAGTTGTTTTGGAGATTGTGAGGAAAAACGAACTTACATTTTGGTATTGTGCAGTGAAGAATGGGGCATTCTGCAGTAGTTTGGGACCATAGAGCAGCAATTGAAGTAACAAAGGACTGGAATGGGATCGATCAGGTGGTGCTTCGGAATCCTCAGGGGGCATCAGCACGGGTAAAATCCCTTTTTATACATATATTTATATATAGAATTTTTTTACTTTTCCCCTTCTTTGATTGATTGTGAGAATATTGCCATATATGGCGAACAGCTATTTCATTGAAGTTCGTGTGGAATTCAAATAAAAATAATTATGCAGGTTAGTTTGCACGGAGGACAGGTGATCTCTTGGCGGAATGATCTGGGTGAAGAACTTCTATTCTCCAGCAGTAAGGTGGGGTTTTGATTCTGAAGTCATTAAAATTTTAGTTGGTCTAAGTTAAATAGTTAAATTTCTTGGTTAAAAACTGAAGTTTCAACATCCTTACAAGGTTCGAGTGGCTGAAATATATAATTATTTTAATCTTTACATATTCACCATGGAAAATATGGAAGTTTTGGGAAAGAATCCGTATGTGCTATTTCGTGTATTTTAATAATCAACGATAAAAAGTTGACAGATAATATCTCAGTAGGATATGGTGTTTGAAAAGTTGGACTATCATTTGGAATTTAATGGCATTGGGCAAACATTAAATCTACTCCACGAGTTTATAATAGTTAACATCAACATTCTAACACGATATTATACTGGGCTTATGGTTGTGTACCATGTTTAATGATGTATCTTGGCATTACAGATAAGTGTCATCTACTTCCCATAAGCAGGACTTGTGTAGAGCAGAGAGTAGAGCTGTCTCTATTTTTTTTTCAAAATATTCAGTACTTGTTAATTTCGGAAGTACAGAAATTGTTGTATCCACTTAATGTCCCATGTTTAATATTTTGAGTAGCTCTAGATCTTACTTGAAATCCTGGTAAATTTAATGTATTTCTAAGAATCAACTATGGCCAAGATAATTACGTACTTACAAAATATTGATCGACTTCCATAAAAGATAATGGACTATTGACGACTTCGAACCTATGGAAGATTTCCGTTAGGATTGTGCTAGAGAAGAAATCAGTTGTTATTAATATTCTTATCCACATATCATTATTTACAATAAATTGAGAGAGGTCTGTTCTTAGAGGTTTAATGCATGCTGATTAATTTTTTGTTGCATTTTCCTTCCTTTTTGGTTAATTTTGAAGGATACGCTGTCTATAAGGCTTTAAATCTTTTATAGGCCATCTTCAAGTCCCCAAAAGCAATGCGCGGAGGAATCTCTATTTGCTTCCCCCAGGTAAACTGCAGCTAATTGTATATATTCGACATAATTTTTTGATGAAAATCCTTGACTCATGTATCTAAATGATGGTTCAGTTTGGAAATTGCGGTTCACTTGAACAACAAGGTTTTGCTAGGAACAAAATTTGGACGATTGAGGATGATGCTCCGCCTTTGCTAAATAATGATATCCGCGGTAAATCCTTCGTTGACTTGTTACTCAAACCAGGCAAAGAAGAACCAAAGTGTTGGCCTCATGGGTAAGAACTTGTATACTTTGGAGATTTGTAACTTTTGAGATGTGCGAGCCGCCCTAGCCTGCTGCTGATTGTGTGCATTTGACTTGTTGAAACTTGTTATTGGATATATTTTTAGTTGTTCTATTTTCCTGATGAAAAATCTTCTTCTTTCCTCAGTTTTGAACTTCGTCTTCGAGTGTCTCTGGCATCGGATGGAAACTTGGCATTGATATCTCGCGTTAGGAACATCAATGGGAAACCTTTTAGCTTCTCATTTGGGTACCATACATATTTGTCCCTTTCCGACATAAGGTATATGCACATAATGGACGAACTTTGAACTTTTTAATTAGATTTGTCCAATTATTACTGTTTCTTCATGTCTGTTTTGAACTGTCATCGGATAGTGAAGTGAGACTAGAAGGTTTGGAGACACTGGACTATCTAGACAACCTTTGCCAAAGAGAACGCTTTACAGAGCAAGGAGATGCCCTAACATTTGAATCCGAGGTAAATCCTATTCAACGTCCTTTATCATTCTAGTAGTTTTTCTAACATGCGATATGAAACAAATACTGAAGGCCAGCAGATGATTTTAACAGATTATTTGATGGAATGAGAAAGCTCTAGCTGAAGAATTTTTTTCCTTTTCTTTTTCTTGCAGGTTGATCGCGTTTATCTTAGTTCTCCAAATTGTGTTGCCGTTCTCGACCATGAAAGGAAGCGAACATATGTAATAAGAAAAGAAGGTCTACCGGATGTTGGTAAGATGCTTCAATTCTTTTCTTTTTTTCTTTTTTATTTTAATTCCCCCTCAATGGGAACATATGTCCATTTATTTTAGTCATTTTAAGGTGACGAGAACTTATATACAACTTATCGCATTATAAAGCTTCTTTAAATTGTGCAAAAACCTGGTTTTTCATTAAACATATTCTAAAACTTTGATCGTCATTCTCCTGCGATACCAATATACAAAAGTGATTTTTTGTGTATACAGTTGTGTGGAATCCATGGGAGAAAAAATCGAGAGCAATGGCAGATTTTGGCGATGAAGAGTACAAACAGATGCTTTGTGTTGATGGAGCAGCAGTCGAGAAATTGATCACCTTGAAGCCGGGAGAGGAATGGACAGGGCGTTTGGAGCTTGCAGCTGTACCCTCAAGTTTTTGCAGTGACTACTTTGATCCACAGCTTCAGTAAAAAACTATTAATCAGAAATTCGTTCAATGCAATAGTGAAGCCTATGGTTTTTATTTAAATGGCTGCTATTTCCAGTTGGAACAGAAGAAATTTGGCCCAAAAATTGTTCTTATCTTCGGTAATTATAAGGTTGGATTAGTAGGGTTTTTCCTTGTTTTTCTTTTGGTCCCTAGTGTTCTTGGGAATGTTATCATCCAGCACCTAGTCATGGTCTAGTCTCTTTCAAAAAATCTAACATTTCGAGGCTGACAGCTTCTATAAGATAGCATATTGGCGAAAAATGTCACTAGCTACTCAACTTGTAGTGAAGTTTCACACTGGTCACCAGGATTTATTTGGTTCTTAAATGATAGTTGAAATCACATGACTTAAAATTTAGCGATGTTCAAAATGATTGTGTAACAAATCATAAAATAAAGTAATGAATGTCAAACAACACCAAATATCATTCACTTGAATTATTTGAGGTCATTCCATCTGGTTCCGTCGCCCTACACTACGCTAAAAATAAAAATAATAGGAAAATAATATGGGGGAAACTGGAAAGTAGATTATAAGCAGGCTCAATATTTGCCCAATTGGAGTTAATACCCTAAATAATCACCGAACTTTGCCAAAAGTTCCTAGGAGGTCACCGAATTTCAAAACTTCCCTAATTAGTCACTGAACTTCGCAAAAAGATTCTAGGAGGTCACTGAATTTCAAAACTACCCTAAATAGTCACTGAACTTTGCTAAAACTTCCTAGGAGGTCACCGAACTTTGCAAATTGTGACCCCATATATCAATGATTTAGTGATCCCTTAGGAATTTTTTGCAAAGTTAAGTGACTAATTATGATAGTTTTGGAAAAGTTCAGTGACTATTCAGGGTAGTTTCGAAATTCAACGACTAATTAGGGAAGTTTTGAAATTCAGTGACATTCTGAAAACTTTTAGTAAAGTTTAGTGACTATTTAGGGTATTAACCCAACTTGCCACCATATGTGCTGACCTGAAATTCACAACCAAGAGGCATGGAGTTTTTGCTGTCATAGCTGGAGTTTTGTTTAGTATTTCTAGTTTCTATTTTACTCATCAATGTTGATGAAGTTTTTCTTCAGCAAATCTCCGATTTCAGAGCCAAGGATGCTCTTTCATTCCGGTTGAAGTATATTGTTGTTTTTTCTTCTCTGAAATGCCTTTCTGTTGGACATTCATTTGTCTTCAATCTCGGGCTTCTCCTCCAACAGCTTCTCTTGCATCTCCGTTTTTCTCCCCACAGTTCAAGATGTTCTATCTTGAGCAGGGAGTGTTGGAATATTCTCCAGCTCATCAGATCACCAGCAATATCAGTTCACACGGCCTGCACAGGTCTTCTTCCAGATCCTTCTTATCACACGGTCAGCACATGCTTCATCTAGATTCTTCTTTAATTTGTTACGAATTTACTCTATAAATAGAGCTTTGTATTCAATGTTTTACTTGAGTTTGATGAATAATAAAATCCTTCTATCATCAGTTCCTTCAATGTGTTCATCATATTGAATTCTATATTTCATTTCCTGCTACTATCAATTTCTATGTTAGTTTCTATCAATTTTCGTTTTCTATCCTTTAGTTTTTCTACACAAGGCATGAGAGTGAATGCAAATTATGTCTATGACGAGCATATTTGGCTAGCTTGAAAAAAAGCAACTTTATGGAAAACAAGTTTTGAACTGAAACTTCCGGAAAACATCTGAAAAAGCTCAAACATGTTTGGCAAAAACTTGTTACTTAAAAGTAACTTTTAAGCTTAGCCAAGCACGCTCTAAGTAAAAATAATTAACGAGGAATTAATAGCATTTAAAAGGGCCAAGGTTGCAGCATTTATGCATGCTGATCTCCTGCATGTCACATAAAAATAATTAATAAGGAATTAATAGCATTTAAAAGTAAAGCACATTGGTACAATCATGAAGCCAAAACAACTGCAAAGCGGAGGGAAATAATTCTAGGGCTCGAAGAGAGCTTCTAAAGCATCCAAGAACATTCAGGCTTAAAGACATGACGATCCCATGCCAATATCTAGTATCATGTTAAAACACTCGAGAGTTTTGTAGCTCAAATGAGTCAAGGCCTCGGATTTCAGATTTTATTGTGGTTTGTAACTTCGAGCATGTTTGGGGTGGTTTATAAGCATGCTTTTAAGCACGAAATAAGCCACCCAGAACATGCTCTTAGTTGGAAAAGAAGAAACCTTAAATAACTCAATATATTTAGCGCTTATTTGATCCCCATTTGATTTTCTTTCTGTCCCATCTGTTCAATCACATTTTTCGATAAAATAATATTACATACAAATTCAAAACTTTTCCTTATTTTTTAACCGTACATTCTCCATCAATTTACTCTTCTAAAATGCATTTTTAGCCAAAAAGGGGCTCAAAGATGTGCTCATTTACATTGACTACATGCAAAATTGTCGGATAAATAGTTTGCAAATCTTTCACAATGAGAGATGCCATGATTTAACCCCTTTCTGCAGACAAGTGGGATAATTCATGCCATGATATGCAAATTTATTTTATAGAGTTGACATTTAAAAATAAGTTTCAAAAAACTCTCTATTTTAATTTTTTAAAAATAGAAAATGAGTTTAGTTCTTCAAATTTAGAGAGTCAAACTCACTCGCTATTCTTAATTTAAAGTGATTACATTTAATAAGTCACACATTTCAATACTTCATTCATTAAATTATTAAGTCAGATTTGAATTGATTAGCCATCGACATATAAAAAAAGTATGTTAAATAAAATATGAAGGGAAATTTAAAATGTTTATTGAGAAAAAAATAAAAAACCAAAATAGAGAGTATTGTTAGAGTGTATAAAAAAATTCATTTAATTAATTAATTACATTAACATTCATTTAATTAATATTAATTAGAATTTCTCATTCACGTGTTTTGTTATTATTTCTCGATTAATTAACATTAACATTCATTTGATTAATTAATATTAATTAAAATTTTACATTCAATAATGCAGTTCATTATTCACATTCATGTATCCTAATTAGTATCCAGTTTCATTTAATTGAAAATTAAATTATATTCATTTACTATACATGATTTAACATTCGTTGTCACTGTATATTCCTTAGTATTAATTTTAAATTAATTAACATTTACATTAACTCATGTATTGTACTTGTTATTCATCTTCATTTATACATTTAGTTGTGATTCTAATCACATTCAAATATACACTTCACTTTTTACGTGCATGTATAATAATCAATATTTATTTTCTAGGTCTTACATTTATATCATATTTAGATCAAAAGGATAAATTGATGTCAAATAATACTTCCACAGCATTTCAGAATGACATGCAACGCACGTTTAACTATGATACCACATCAAGTGAGAATTTTTTTTGGATGATTACGGCCTCACCACAATTCAATTATTTCAATATTACATTATTTTTCGTTTTTCAATATATATTTAATTTACAAATTATAATAAATGCTATAATTAATTCTTAATTAATTAATATTCACATTCATTTAATTAATATTAATTAGAATTTCACATTCACATCCTATTATTAACAATTAATTATCATTCACATTTATTAAATTAATATTAACTAGAATTTCACATTCAAGAATGAAATTCATTATTCATGTCTATGTTTGATAATTAGCATCATGTTTCACTTAATTGAAGATTAAATTATATTTATTTAATATAAATGATTTAACATTTATTGTTACGTATATATTTCTTGGTATTAGTTCTAAATTAATTAACATTGACGTTAATTCATGTATCTTATTTTCCATCCATTTTCATTTAATTGAAAATTAAATAAATGATTTAACATTCATTGTCACGTATATATTTCCTGGTATTAATTTTAAATTAAATAACATTCACGCATATTCATATTTGAGACTGGGAGAAACATGATAATTTGAGATTAATCGATGAATATATGAAGGTGATGGGAATGGGAATGAAGATGGAAATGGAAGAGGTGGGGAAAATGGTAGTAGCGTATGTGTTGGTGGGTACGGTTGAGTCATCCGGTAGTGGGGGTGATGGTTTTGGGGTGGGTATGCGTGAGGTGGATGGAGAATGTGAAAATGAATTTTTAATTTTAATTATTAGATTTTGGCTATTTTATTATAAAAAAAATGTAAAGTTACTATTTTACCATTTTAAAACATTGGTCAAAGTTTACTATTATAGTCAATTAACGGTCAAACTAATAAAAATTATAGTCGCTCTCCTCTTCTAGGTGGTTCGAAACAAAGCCAAAAACATGCTAATGTGGAAACGACCTGTTTAAAAAAAGTTGCACAAAAAATTGCAAAAAATTGCCAAGAAATCCACCCCCAAATTCGAAACCCTAAGCACATCTGACAATGTGGAAATCATCAAGTTGAAGCTCAAAATTGCCATCCCTAATCACAGCTCACCATCTCTTGCCAAAGATTTCGTCGTCGCTTGACCTACCATATCCGTTATCAACTGAGTTTCGCTGTGCCTCTGTGAAAGGCGTTGCCGTTGGAAGTGTAACGCCCCAAATTCTATTAACTCAAGGTGCTACTTAAGTCGAAATATCATGTAAATAAGTATTCTCAGTAGACGTCAAAATGCGTAAATATTTTTTTCCTACTATAGTAGATTAGAAATAAATGCAGAAATGTCATTTGAATAATTTGCTCACATCCAAGTGTCAATATCAAATATAATAAGCAAAGTGTCAAAATTCGCAAAAATACTAAAACTTGAGATTAAATTGACAAAATGGAATCCAACTTTTAAAATACTTGTTTCAAAAATTTATAAAATAAATGGTCTATTATTTAATCAAGATTGTCCCGCTCATTGCCTTACCTTGCCGAACTCCTTAACCTGAAACGGTGGAAAGATATTGGGGTGAGCATAACGAATTATACTCAGTGGAGAAACCGCAATCAGTCCAAGTTAAACTTAAACATGAAATCAAAATTTGAATATAATACC